TAAGGTTACCGCTCAAGTTTAGCCCGACAACATGCGAAGTAATGTGTTATCTCAGCATACTTACTTCTTTGAGCCTCGGCATAGCTTAATCAGTTGACAATACCACATCCCGGTATGTTGTGATTCGCGGTCCGTAGGAGTCACTTTTCGCTTTACACCAAGACTTTAAGATGCAAAAGTTATCAGTGGCCATTCGAAGAAGATGTGGATGGTTATCTTCACTATTCAAAAAGGTGTAGAATGTAGAATCTTCAACGTGAGAATTAGAACGTCTGATGAACTTGTTGGAAGTGAAAAGAAATTAGCATGGAAGATGACAGATTGCACTGGAATGAATGAATGAATGAATGGATCGTGGTGAAAAAGAGGAAATAAAATAGATTGTGAAACGCATATGTTAAGAAGATGTAAGGAGGACATGTAGGGAAGCTAAGTGTGAAACTGGCTGTCTGTGTTTCATCCCGAAGCTGCAAACACAGAAAATATGCGGTGTGGATTGGGGTGGGAATCGTCAGTACAGCCCCCAATCCACCATTTGGAAATTTTGATAACATAAATGCGTGATAGAAGAAGAGCACAGAAGAGAAGAAAGATAGGAAAGAATAGAAGGTGGAAGGCAGAAGCAATGAGGGGAGGGGAAGTTTTGAGGGAAAAAAAGCAACAAACTGAATCGAAAGGCCTAATAACGTTGTGGTTGCCCGGGAGTAACTGGGGGAGAAAAAGAACCTCAAACTGAATGAGACCTCTTCTTTCCTCAGCTCACTGTGGCGGGCATGTCCGATCCTGGCTGCTGCTGTACAACTCTAACTGTAGCTGCGAAAATTCCACATAAATCCGATCCTTGATTGACCCTGACAACCTGCTGTTTTTTCGCTGCAGCTTGCAGTGTCGGTTTTTCAGAGTAAAGCTAGTGCGTTGGAAAATGTAGGTGCGAGTAGCATACTGATCGTTGTGAAGGGCACAGCAGAAATACGGTCAGCTGATCAAACGCTGCAAATCAGTCGAGGCGATGCCTATTTTATACCTGTGAATGCACATCCGATAAAGTTGAAACCATCCGATGATTTCTTGTCTTATCGAGCCTTTACACCAAAAAGATGATTCTCGATGTTCCGTTATCCAGCATTTCCGCCTATACGCAAATGCAAAAAAGAATGCTGCGGCTACCCATGATGTGTGTGTATGTATGTATGTGTGCTCGTCTGTCCAGGTATTTCCCTTGAGTACTGAAATTTCGGCCAAGCACTACTACTCCGTGTCAATTTTTATGTACGTCTGAGCCTTATATACGAGCACGTGAAAGTTTTGGCGGATGAACTGCTAACTCGTGAACCGCAAAAGCTGAAGGAGTGTTCTCTGTCCAAGTATAGCTTAAAGGTTTCAAATTCATCCCCCAGATATGTGTGATTTTCACGTTCGGTCATGTGAAAGTTTCGGTGGGGAAATTACTAATTGAGGAGTTGGATGGCTGAAATTTTAAGGGCATGTTCCCTGTCCACCTACAGTTTAAAAGTTTCAAATTCAACTCGCAGGTGTGCGTGGTTCTCACATACGAGTACATGAAAA